TCGGGAGCGGCAGCGGCAGCGGGTTAGGGTTGGGTAAGGGTTATATCGGTTTAGTTGGTTCGATTGAACCAACTAACAACCGAACCAGGACCGAACCAGACCTAAAATCCTGGTTTGGTCACTTGGTTTACCTAGGCGCTCGCCCGAAGCGCCCAGCGCCTGGGCTTGGGCGAGCGCCCAGGCGGCGCCTGTTTGAAGCGCGCCGCCTGGGACATTAGCGAGGCGCTCGGGCGAGGTGAGCGCCCGAGCGCCTCTTTCAATCACTGCCCACAACACCTTGATTAACGTTACTTATGTTTGCTTGTGCTATTGTTTATCATTGTGGTTTGCTTAGTTTTTGTGTTTTTCCTTGTTTTTGTAAGCCTAGACAGATCGTAAGGTTGCACACCAATTGCTCCCGGAACAAGTGAAAACTAGGCTAAAACTTCCCCTTTTTTCATGTTGTGGCTTGATTTCTTAAGCCTATAGTGTGGTACAAAACATCAACTATTTTAGCCCCTAGAATGCTTTTGGGTGGCGAATCAAGCAAGAGTGCTTTAAGGAGGTAGCTGTCTCAAGTGGTCTCAATAGGGTCGCAAGTGCAAACTCATTCTCAAGCTGCTAGAGCTGCTCAAGAGGAGTGTCATAGTCAGAATGGTGAGTAAGAAGTTGGCAATTCTCCATGAGTGGAGGAAATGCAATCCGAAATGCTGATTATGGGAAAGCAAAAAAAAAAGAAGAAAATGTTTGCAATGAGGAAACTTGCCTCTATGTCGTTGAAACAAGCTTAGAGGAAGTCTACCAAGGCTAGTGATGACTTTTTAGGATAGAAGCCTTGCAAGAGGTGGAATCTCGAGTTGACATGATGGAGTCCCAAGTCGATTGACTTATTATTCACACCAAGGAGTCAATGCAGCATCTACAATAAGTAGTGGCTGATCTCACTGCAATAATTATAGGGTTCAAGAGAGCTTTACTTGTGGGCGGGGGCAATACCCATGTTGCTTCATCACAAAATTTGAAGGCATCCGAGCTGCACTGCTATGGGGTGCTAGGGATGCAAAGGAACTCAAAAAGTTTTATTCGACATGGAGTAGTACTTTCGGGCAACGAGGCTTGATTTTGAAGAGACCAACGTGTTGATCACGACCATATATTTGAATGCGGATGTCAAAATCTGGTGGCACACCCAATGAGAAGAAATCCAATACGGGCAATGTCGGGTGGACACATGGGAGGACTTGAAGCGTGAGTTTTGAACTCAGTTCTTGTCTAAGGATACTAAGTTCGTCGCCCATCGGAAGTTCAAACAACTTCGTCAAACCGGATTGTGTAGTAGTACTCGACAAGTTGCAGCTTTCGACATGGTTCAAAATTCACAATGTATTCCATGCATGTATTTTAAAAGCCTACTATTCAAATCCGTAAGATGCGTGTGTTTTAGAAATGTTCAATTTGACTACCCTCCACCTAAGTGTCTTATGAAAAGTGAGTTGAAACCATTTTAGCAGGTCTCAAGATACAGCACTGTAGTGAAGCAGATCGAGTATTTAATGAAGTGGTGAAAGATTCTCAAAAGCCAGTTGGGAGCTAGAAGATACCTTGCGACATGAAGAAAAAATCGTCAAAGCCTACTAGCCTTCGTTGATAGATTAAGTGGGGGAGAATGTCACAGATGGCCATCGCATGCTTGCAATACCTTCGTCAACATACCATTCATCGCTTATGTTTGCTTGTACAATTGTTTGGCAATATGTTTTACTTAGATTCTGTGTGTTTCTCTTTGGTTTTTGTAAGCCTAGGTAGTTTGCAAGGTTGCACAGTGACCACTTATCGAACATGGCAAAACTGGGCCAAAACTGTCTTGTTTTCATATGTCCGGACATGATTTCTCAAGCCTACTATCCGGTGTAAAATGTCAGCCATCTTAGTCGTTGGAACCCTGAGTGGTACTGAGCTGGATGGGGCTTTAGAGTAGTATCGAGCCTTATTTAGATTCACAAGTTTATATGCAAAGTGTGCATAGACTTGCCCAACACCTCAATACCTGGGTGAGCGGTCATTTGTGGGCTTGTGGCTGTCTTTTTCCCTTCCAAAGTCCTTGTTTTCACCTTGCATTTCAAGTGTTTGTTGAATTGCTTGAGTGCTGTGTTTTTGAGCGAGACGTTGTGACCTCGTCTTTGAAACTAACCAACTTGTATATTATTTACAGGTCTCTTAAGACCTATGCGAGGTTACACTTAGGCTGACCTTTTATAGACGGATATCATAAAGGTGCCTCATGACTTCACAATTTTAGCTAAGTCCATGTCAATTCGATGCTAGTACTCAACTCTTATCTTATAAGGAATTCTTCTCCATGTCATTGTTCTCATTTTCTCTTCCCTCTTTCTTACTACCAACCATAGTTGTTCCGCCAATGCCTTTTTTGCTGCCTCCACCATAACCAGCTCTATGCTGCCATCCACCAACCAATTGCACCAGCTTTGCATTTCTTAATTCATGGCCTTGTCAACATCTCCTTGCTCTCCACTAGCATGTGAATCTTTGCCTTCACCACCTTCCCATCCCACTTCTCTAAAATTTCCAACAGTAGTAAAGTTCCACAAATCCAAGTCAAGCTTCGCACTTTTCTCTATTTTTGACTTTTCTGAATACAACCCAATTCGATCAAAATGTTAAACAAATCACTGGGCAATCAAACAAGGAACTCTGATTCATGAGCTTGCATGACTGGACTTGATGAAGCTACAAAGAGATCATTATTGCAGGATCGATTAAATGATGATGTCTATTCTATCTGTCTCTATTTTCATAACTTTTGTCACTTTTAAGCCAATTGAGCTAAATATTAAGTTCTCTCATTATGAAGTGTAGACCTGACATTTCTATTCACATAACCTCAAATATGTTTTCTGCCCATGAGAGATGAAAAGAAGCAACTAAAGCCCAAAAACGAAGGCTCGGTAAATGAATGGTGTTCCATGCTTTTCATGGGCTATGTATCACTTATTCATTATATACTGTAAAGATAAACATCAAAACTAGTGATAAAGGTTTGAAACTTTTGTAAAAGCTAAAGCCATAAACATAGATTATCATTGCAAATTCAATTAAAAAATAATGTTAGCTTCAATCATAGAGTATAAAGCTCATGCTAAGGTGATGTTTTCCTCCATTCTTTGTACATTTTCAGTAATATCTGCTTTTTTTGTTTTTGTAGATTTGATGTGAGAGATAAATTTTATCTAGGTATAAGAAGGAATCACCTCATTCACGAAAGAATAGTAAGAAAGGTTGGACAAATTTACCAAAACTAAAATGTTTTTCCAGAGCATAAGAATAATAAAGATGATATTTGAGTTCCTTAGATTAGCTGCAGCCCTCCAAATATCTTATTTTGGTGTTTTAAATCATCACCCTCATATCAACTTAAAATAATGCAGAATTTTTGGTGCCACAGGGTTGAAAACTCGGCTTTAGAACTCCATTTTTACTCTAGTTGGCCAAATCACTCTTTTGTCACATGAGAAACAGTGGTTTTGCTCAAAACTTTTCAGTTTAAGTCAGCACTGGAAAAACTGGTAGAAACTGAGTTCCAGACCAACCATTTCCATGGACCAATCTGCTTGTTCTCAATTGACTCACAGATGTACTTTATTAGTCCAGATATATCCTTTTATCTGTCATCTATTTTCTTCACTTCAGTGGAGGGACTGTTAAGGCTTACAAGGCATGAAAAGCCGATACAAAAATTCACATTACATCTAGGTGGTATGTCAACATGAGTGTAGAAGTAGTTGAAGTTTGTACTGATGTGATACTACAAATAGGAGATCAAGAGACATTTTGCTTAAGCAACATATATTTCTAAGAAATAATATTTTTCCTTCTGATCAGAACTCAGAAGGTCAATTACTTATCTTGATTATGGACTAAGGTTCTCTTTGAGCTGCCTAAAATAGTTCAGAATAAACGGAATTCCAAGATTATTCAAATCATTTGGCAGCATTTATATTTATAACTGGCAGTCCTGAATATCATGTTCCCAGAAATGACATATGCTACTTAACTACTACTATATGCATGCATAACTTGTCCATATCAATCTTCCAGGAACGGCATCAAACATTTCGTGGGGGATTTTGGAACTACTTCAGTATTGGTAAGAGTTCCTGAATTCCTAAAGATTAAATTGCAGCTTATTTCTGACTGTAATATTGTTTGAGGACTTCAAAGAAAATTGCATTTGTTAAAGGAATGTTAAGGGCTCAACTAATGTATCATAGATATGATACTAAATCATATACATGAAAATTTAAATTGAACAAATAGTTATGGTGACATTATAACAGTTTCTTTTCATTATTCTACTTTTGTATTGATTGATTTATTCATATCACTATGCTTGATATATTGGTCATATATGCCAAAAGCCTAGTATTCTTGTCTAGATCCTCGTAGTACATGATTGTAACCATATCTTTACATTTTAGCATGGATGGGAATTTTAGGAAATTTATTTCATGTTATTTTCATCCAAAGAAAGTTTATGTTAAATTCCCATATGCATGGGGATGTAACTTTTGCATGCAAGCTATGTAATTTAACTATTGATGAATTAACATTGTTAGGATGAGATTTCTTAGTACAAAACTGAATAAATGTACTTAGGTAAATCATTTGTATGCAGAAAACAAGAACTTGTACGAGTGTTGTTTGTCTGTATGATCCTTTTAGTAGGCTACTTTCCTTTTATTTGTGAAAAAATCTTTCTAAACTTGAGATGGAAACTTGTATTATGCAACATGCTGGGCTGTTTCTTCGATTGTTTTCTTTGCTGCTATTGCAATAGTCATGAATTTTGAATACCAGTTTGTATCAACTTGTGCACAGTGTAGCTGCTTTAGTGACATAGACTGACATTCTAAACATGTGTGTGGTATCCTGAGGTATATGTTATCATATTGATACCCCATACCAATTTACTTGCTGGCAGGCTGGTACTTGGTACAGTCTGGTATATATAGTCTTGTTGGTTGTCAAGTTTTCCTTCAATTTTAAGTGGAAAATTAACTTGAACATTTTGGCTGGTAATTTTCTGGTTTCACAAGTCTGTACTTATGTGCCATTGGTTATGTCAAATGCATGTTTTACAGGAATGGATGCCCAAGTATCATATGCATTTCACCATAAAAGGAAGAAGCATCCTGAAAAGTTTAAGAACCAGTTAGCTAATCAGGTGCTCGTCAATGATTGCTACTCATATCACCATTCCTATCCTTCATCTGTGTTTACTGTTTGCACTAATTGATTGTAAATCTAAAAATGGAAGTAATTGTTGTTGGTCACATTGGTTCCAGTACACCCAACTTTGATGGATGTAATTAACAAAAGCACATGTTCCTGCAAAGGATGCCCCATGTATATTAAGCTTATCATCTTTGTTTCTGTCCTCAAATACCTTACTAAAGTTTCACCATTGCATTGGTGTTCCAGAGAACCTATTTAAAGCTTGGATGTACCCAGGGATGGTTTTGTACATCTCTTTTTCAGCCTACTTCAAGGTAACTTTGTGGCAATCTTTTAACAGATTCCCTAGATTTTGATAGCTTGAATAACAGTTGTTGTAATGATCATAACCATTCTCTTATGCTATCTGTTATAGTAAACTTAGCAATACACATGGTAAAAGTTTAATAATGTGAAGATTTATGCTTCTTTGTCTGGGAAAATGATTTATATAACCATACATATTGAATTGCACAATCTGGACAAGTTCTTTTTAGTTTGTGGCTGGCTATACATTATAATCATACATAAAATCTATTGTACTAGTCAAGATACATTATAAAACCTAAAGCAAGTCTTCGAATATCAACTGTATTGATTGGTATGAATTAGTATTTACTGGTCTGGCCAAGGATTAGTTTTGAAACATATTGATCATATCAGTATAATGCCATTTATTTTTTTATTATTTTATTCAATGATACTGAGCTATGTAGGTGATGTATACTGCCAACATACGGTAGTCCACTGAGTTACCAGAATCAGTACAGATCAAGACTTAAATCTTTGGCCAAAAGTCTTCTATAGTTCCAACTTTCAATACTGGATTAACATTAGGCACGCCATCTTGATCATGTGCACAATATGCAGAATTTCCACTTGTTTTAGATCATATAGACGTCTTAGAATGTTGCTCTATATAATTTGTACAAGTGACTGACACACTACAAAAACCAGTAACTAAATGTCAATCCATTGTAGAAGCTTTTTATATGGAAGTGGCAGCCATTTTAACTTAGTTGACTTGACATGATATAGTACCACTGAAAGAAATGAGTGTTTGTTAGACCAAATGAATATTGTGACAAGGCAAGTGACACTTGTGTAATTTGGATTTCCAATGAAGGACGGAAACATATTGAAGATGACTATCAGTTCATTCAACAAACGGGTTGAATAAGGTGAGAGAAATTGGCATGACAGATACGAAAGGATGAGGTCTACACATTGGTGCATTATGGTTTTCGGAAAAGCAAAAGCTAAAAGTTACTATTATAAAGGAGGTGAAGACCTCTTTACAGCATTAATGATATCATCTTGACTCAGATATTCACTTGCTTTTTCATGCTTTTTTTGTTTCTTTGATATGGAACTGCTGTGATATAATTTTCCAGTCAAATCTCTAGCATCCTTGTTAGTCCATGACAGATAGCTTAATATTCTTCTTAAATCCATATGTACGATTAATGTGATGTTATATTGTGTTGGTAGAATGAGGTGAACTACCTCAGGATGTTATTGCACATGTAAGCCACTTGCAGACCTAGCTTAATAACCTAATCAGGGCAGGCCTAACCATGCCGCGCTGGAATTATTGATAGATCATGTTTTCCTTGGATCCTAATATATGTCAAATATCACATTCAACTAGTTCCATACTTGGTTACTAAGAAAAGCATGATATCATATTTATGAACAGTCCCTGCTATCAATATTAACTTGTATTTATGGCTACATCCACTCTATATCTTGTTGGATTAGTAGGTTACTCAAATTATGACATATGGTATGAGAGCAACTCTATGGAACTCTACTTGGGGAATGATACACGTTTCCTAATGCAGTCTAATATGGTGTAAGGTCAGGTTGGTCCAATTGATCTCCATTCAAACTCTAAAGGAGAACTTGAATTGGAAGGGTGAGATTAGGATATCTTGGTAACCTATAGCATGAACTGAGAAATGCATGATCTACTAATAACTTGGTTTCATTTCTTTCTTAACTGCCCCTCTTTTGTCTCAGCTCTTTGCATTCGTTATTTGGTATTTTGTTTTAAAATTTTGTTACTTTTTTCCCATATAATGAAATGAATGGGAAGTATTTCTGTTTTTTAAAGGAAAAAGAAGGGTTAGTAGGTCACTGGGGCTGTGACATGTATAATATAATTTCACAAACAACCTCATCAACCAAATCTAGACTGTTGTTTGGTGTTAATGAGTAAGATGCACAAGATTAATGAGAAACGTTTACTTAAAGGCTTCGTTTTATTGGCTGAATTGTGATTGTTCATTAAAAATGTGTGTTCTTTTTCCTGAGAAATTGGATTAACTATGATTAGCGTGTGTTATTTTCTGTTGGACATAGTTTCTTAGAATATTTTTTGTTCAAACACAGGAACATAGCTTGTCTTGCAAAGGTCAAGATCATGAAAAAGACTGGCCACTGGGAAAAGCTTCATATTCCTAACAGGTGAAATTTTAGCTGCTTTTCAATTGAAGCATTGCAATTGCCTTCATTGAGTGCAGCAGTACATTACTCCCTACCAATGACTAAAAGAATGACTTAAAATATCTATCTATTTAGTCATGGTAGTAGAGCATTTCTTATTTTTCTGATATTGGGATGCTTGGCTATGACTAAATTGTTTTATATTACTCTGCAGTCTGCATGATTGTTTGTGATCCTTTAATGGCTTAGTCCTTTTATGTTTTTTTTCCAATTATCAAAGATCGAGTTATACAATTCAGGAGTCTGTTATTTATTTATCATGATTTTTGTTTCTTCAGGCCTTCTGTTTTTCAATTGCCTCCCATATTTAACATTTGTATTTAGTCCAACAAGCACAAGATAAGGTTCTTTTCTTCCTTTTTTTTCCTCAATACTAAGATGTGACTTAATTCATGAAGCACCTTCTCTCTCTCTCTCGCTCTCTCTCTCTCTCTTTTATATATATATATAAAACTGTGTTCAGCTTCATCTCATTACTAAATTCATCATGTGTTCAAAAACAAATAGTTTTTCTTCCAATGTTTTTCCAAATCATAGATAAACTAAAATTAGACTCTTGAATTCTGATAAGTGATGGACTTACAATTAGTTGACTAAAGTATATATGGTAATGGAACATGAAAGTGGTTTTAGAAGTCTGGGCACTTTTGAATTTAAAGAAATTTGGTTACATTTGCCTCCATTATTTCCCTCAATCCTTCTGTCTGACCTGCATCTATTAGGTCTGCTACATTTCTTTACCCTCATGCATCTTGTCTAGTCTCTTAATTGGGCCTAACAAGAATCTTCATTGACATGCTTGTATTTTGATCTTTAGTGTCCACCTCTTTGCATCTTTAGTTCGTCTCATGAAATCATTCATTTCAGTTGTTGGCTGCCCAGGTAATTTTATAATTTGTTTCCATTTACCTAGTGTGTGATTCTTTGAAAATAGAACTGACATTAGACTATGAAGTTTCAAATATTGAGTACATAAATTTTGATGACAATCATTTCAAAAATTGTCATGTAAAGTGGTCTTTCTAGAAGATGCTTCGATGAGTACTCTGATGGCAAACAACTCGAGCATTTCTGCTATTAATCACACACAGTGTAACTGTAAATAAATTTCTCTACACAATGATAAATGTATTTCTTGGTGATGAATACATAACCATTTAGGAGAGGAGAATTGCTTCTGAAATTTCCTGGGGTGAGACCCACATATCAGGTTTGTGAGACGAATTTTTACCTTGAATATTCAGGGTTGACTCACCTCTCCTAGAAAGTTTTTCCATTTGAATTCTGAAGGATATTGGTGGGTCACTTCTAATTACAGTTCAATATGCAGCATCAGGTCGATTGTTTGTCTGAACTTGCCCAGCTTTTCTGGTGGATTGAATCCTTGGGGAACACCAGATAAGAAGAAACAGCGAGACGTCGGTTTTTCCTCTTGTAAAGTGTTATACATTGATTTTTCAATTGGGGAAAGAATGTTTGGAACATTTCTTTTTAGTTCTAAATTATCATATCCTACAGCGGGATTTGACTCCACCATTTGTTGACGACGGCCTATTAGAGGTAGTGGGTTTCAAGGATGGTTGGCATGGACTTGTTCTGCTTGCTCCTGGAGGGCACGGGACTCGTCTTGCACAGGTATCTGGTTCACAACAGCTTATATCAGAACAGCTTTTCATCAAATCAACATCATGCCTAAGGATAATATCAGCATGCCATATACGATGATCACTTCAATATTTTTCTTGTGATCTACATTAATAATGTACTCTTTCTACGTCTAGGCTCGTGGTATTCAGTTCAAGTTTCGCAAGGGTGCTGGTGATCATGCATACATGAGAATTGATGGAGAACCTTGGAAGCAGCCTTTGCCACAAGACAAGGACGAGGTTGTGGTAGAGATCTCCCATCTGGGTCAAGTCAGTATACTTGCAACAGATAATTGCATAGCTAAAAGTGTTTATGATGTCTCAACACAACCTGATGAAGACTCGACCAGTGAAGATTCTGACAACAGCTACTCTGAGGAGAGGAAGAATTTCGGAGCAGCAGATGCATTCAGATATTATGATGATATTGATCGTACTTGTATTAGTTAGTCCGTACTTGGCCTTTTGATGTAACCAGTTGTGGTTTACAACCTTTCACCAGCCGCAGTATTTTGACCAGGACACCGTTGGTGGATAAGCAGTTCTTTTTCTCTGTATATATATGTGTAATATGTATCTTACCAAAGGATTTTCTTATAAAGAAAGATTATTAACGAGCTCAATGCAGATTTGCAGTTGTCTTGGTTTACTTTACAACACCTCAAGGTAAGGTAGGTAGAGGGGATAGCTAAGTTGGAAGAGTGGCATACTGAAAGAACTGAAGGTTGTGTTCAATCTAAGCTCACAGCATGTATATATTTTCTATTAATTCTATGCAAAAATTGCATGCTAAAAAATTAATATTAAAACATTGGTCATTTTATTTTGGCCAACGCAAACTATAGTCTGATTTCATTTTCCCAACATAAACTATATTCTGATTTTAACTTTCCCAATACAAACTATTCTGACTTGGACAACTCAAAAAGGCAACTTGGCTACTACCTACATATAAAACCTTACAAGCGTCAATCACATAATTACCCATTTAATCCATTAAAAAACTATATATAAAGGGATGATTTTCCTAAACAAAACTAATGTTGTTTTTATTTCCTAAGAGCATATCCATATTAGTTTCTTTCTCATATAGCCTTTTTTCTTTAAATGATAAAATTACCTCCGACTACCATTTATTTATTTATTTGTCTCCTTCCATCTTCAAACTCATTCAATTGAATCAATCTATTCAATTGAACTAATTCAATCAACCTAAAACTTGGACCAGTTCAAAACAAATAATATCAAATAAAATATTAATGTATTATTTATATTAATATAAATAATTTATAATTATATAAAGGGTGAATCTAAAAAAAAACCTATAATTTTGGAAACTTCCTACAGAGTGCCCCTAATTTAGAAATTTCTTACCATTTTCTTACTTTTTAAAAAGATAATATTATCCTTCTAGAATTCTTTGGGTTCACATAGAATTAAACCGAAGAAAAAATCGATTTATCTTAAACCGATTTTGTTACCATACACCGTATAATGTTTTCATTTACCAATCGACACGACCAGTGGTGAATGACATTCCACCTCTCGTGTTTTTTCTATTCCTTGACTGCATTGAGTTCCTATGTCGAAGGGTTTAGGGTTTATGATTACCACAAGGAGTATCAAGTTCGGTATCGAGTTCTAGCAACGAGGCTTTTAGGGTTCTAGCGTACTATCGCTAGAGCACCCCTCTTAACTATGGTGTGGGGTTCCTTCTTTGTCATCTATCTAGCTAGTCTTCATTTCTCAAACAACATTTCTAGTCCCCAGGTCATTTATATGAATATTAGGATGCTTGTTACTCTTGCATTGATGTTTACTGTTCTAAAATTTGTGAAGCTAGCTCGTAAGCTCTACTACTATCGTAGTGTTCTAAAAAAAGTTACACAAGATTTTTTTAGGATTCAATATGGTACTAAGAGGGGGGGGGTGAGATGAGGGATGAATTAGTGCAGCGATAAAAATTACAATTGTGATTCCAAATCTTTCCGAGTTGATAAAAAGATAATGAAGAAATCGTATCGAAAAGATATTGACTTGAAGTAAATGAATAATACAGAGTGCAACTAAGTAATGAAAGTAAGCAGTAAGGAAAGAACACATTGAATTTATAGTGGTTCGATCGTTGTGACCTATGTCCACTTCCGATTCCTCCTCCGTTGAGGTCACCAGCGTCCACTAATGCTCTTCCTTCAATAGACGAAGACCAACCATATTCTTACAACACTTTCTTCTATTTTGGGTTTAGGAGGCAACCCTTACAAACCTCATACCTCACTTGAATGATCACAAGACTTAGAAAGGGAGGAGGAGGATACTTAGCACTTTTATAATACTTTCACACCCCAACACTTCAAGATTTTGTTCATACTTTGTTACTTCCTTATGCAGAAAAGAGTAGCATATTTATAGGCCCCAATAACTTCAAAATTGGAGCAAAAAAGTGTCTTATCTCGGGTTTCCGGTGTACTGGCAGTACCACCGCCTAGTCTGACGGTACTATCGCCTGATAGAGCCTCAGAGACTAGCTCTGGCGGTACCACCGCCTGGCAGCATTAATTGCCAACGGTACCATCGCCTAGACCACCTAGGAGGCTGAGCCTCCGACAGTTCCACCGCCCACCCTAGGCGGTGCCACCGCCTGATAAGGTTCTAAGTGGCCTAGTGGGCCTTCCATCCGACCTAACTCAATCTTGTTTTGGGCCTAGTTGGCCCTTAATTGAGTTAGTGGGATTTCCTCATAATCCTAACTCAATCTAAGTTCTAATTATTATAATTAAGGTATTAACTAAGCAATCATTGTCTGGTACGTCAATTGTTCTTTCGGCGAAGTCTCGACGAACTTTCGATTAACTCTCGATTAGCTTTTGGCGAACTCCCGACGAATTCTTGGCGAACTCCTGACGAACTTTTAGCAAAATCCTGACGAACTCTCAGTGAACTCCCAACAAACTCTCAGCGAACTCCTGACAAACTCTCGGTGAACTCCCAATGAACTCTCGACAAACTCTCGACGAACTCTCAGCAAACTCCCAACGAACTCTCGGCGAACTCCTGACGAACTCTCGGTGAGCTCCCAATGAACTCACAGTGAGCTTTCGGCACATCGTTCGAATCTTCGACGTATTGTATGATCTTTGACTCCGACCCAACATCTGTTTATGCCTTATTATCATAGTTAATCCTGTAACACTCTTCTCAACATATGGATTAGATCAATAATTTATTAATTGATTTCTTCCTTTTTTATGATGATAACCAATTGATAACGGAGTTAACCTTAACTCTCCCTGTTTATATGCCATATTGAGATAAAGCAAACTTGAATTTAAAAGGAATCATGACCTTTGAATTTAAGTGAAACAATTTTGATCTCTACGATTGAATGCAATATATCAAATCAAAATTTTATATGTTGTGCATCATTTATAGTTTTAAATTGAAACATGTACAATTTCAAAATATTACATTTCATCCTCATTTCATGTATGATATCAAAAATAAATCAACATCACTTTGGGCATAACATGCATGATACATTCATTATTTCATGATACCAAACATTCATCATTTCTCCCCCTTTGTCATCAACAAAAAGGAGAATCATTTAACAATGCAAGTATTTTAAACTATTCAAGTAAGTTTTATACCAATTTATCTAAGCTAGCAAATTTGTGAAATGAGAAGTTAAGCAAAAACTTTACATGATAACTACTTTTGTTTCTTGAAATTGGCAAGCTAGCTTTATTGCTTTAGATGTGCAAGTACCTTTTGGTGTAAGTTTCTTTCTTCCTTTTGTCATAAGAATAGGAAGAAGAGTAAGAGAGGAATTCATTTATCATAAGAAAAATCAAGTTATAAGAACAAAATCCATGAAAGGATTTGAACCATGTCAAATCTATGAACAAAATCAAATTCACGAAAAAATTAGTTTCATTGAATCAAGCTTCTACTTTTGCAAAGAGAAATGATTCATTAAAAAATCAAAATGTGCATACTAAAGATTTATGAATCAAATCCCTTTTCTTGTAAATAGAAGGAAGAAGAATTGATAGGAATTGATTATCGCATAGAAGATCAAGTCATTAATCGAAAGATCCATGAATCAAGGTTCTTCCTTTGCAAATAGAAGGAGGGACTCATGATCATCACATGGAAAAAAAGGAATCAAGTTATGAATATCAAAAGTCTATGAATCGAATATTTTCTTTTGTAAATAGCAAGAGGAAGGATTTATAGGAAATGATCTCAATTTAAAAGAAAAATTCAAGTTACAAAAAATTGAGAAATCCAAAAAGCTTATAAAGGAATTCATGTATTTGGAAGGTTTAACATGCCTAATTCTCTTCTAATAAAATCAAATTATTCCTCATTCAATGGTTTTGTAAAAATATCTACTAATTGATGCTTTGTATTAATAAATTCTAAAGATATGTCATCATTATTAATATGATCTCTAATAAAATGATACTTAATATCAATATGTTTAGTTCTAGAGTGTTGAATGAGATTTTTTGTTAAAAATATTACACTAATGTTATCATATTTTATAGGTATATTTTTTAAGTGAATTTCATAATATTCCAAATTATTTTTCATCCAGATAACTTGTGCACAATATGCACCTACTGCTATATACGCAACTTCAATTGTAGATAATGCAATCGAGTTTTGTTTCTTGGAAGACCAAGAGACAAGTGCATGACCTAAGAGTTGACATGTTCTTGATGTGCTTTTTTTATCTATTCGACAACCAGCAAAATCAACATCGATATAAGCAAATAACTCAAAGTTTTTAGAATTTAGATACCATAGTCCTAGATTAGGAGTTCCTTTTATATATCTAAAAATCCTTTTAACAGCTTTTAAGTGAGATTGCTTAGGATTAGATTGAAATCTAGTACATAGTCCAACACTAAACATGATATCGGGTTTAGTTGCTATGAGGTATAATAAACTACCTATCATACCCCTATAAGTCTTTTGATCAAAATATTCTCCATTAATGTCCATATCTAATTTTGTAGAAGTACTTATTGGTGTATTAATAGCCTTAGCGTTATCTATATTAAATCATTTTAATAGATCTAAAGCATATTTTATTTGACTAACAAAAAAATTCATCACTAAGTTGTTTGATTTGTAAACCTAAGAAAAAAGATAATTCCCGCATAAACTCATTTTGAATTCATGGCTCATACTATTGGTAAAAGATTCATATAAATACTCATTTGAAGATCCGAAAATGATATAATCAACATAAATTAGAACAATGAGAAATTTATTTTTAAAATATTTAATAAACAATGTAGTATCGACCTTGTTAGGAACGAGTCGGCACTAAGAGGGGGGGGGGGGGGGGGGTGGTGGGGAG